ACAGAGAGGAGCGACTTTGGATACTGTGTTGGTGTGGCCTACGGGCTAGGACATTGTGTAGTAACCCTGTTCAGAAGTAGCCTGGGGCCCAGAACTCAGCCCCAGGCAACTCAGACCTGAGATGGTCTGCACTGGGCTGTGTGACCAAGACACGCCCAGGCCTGAGTCTGTCGCGTATGGCTGTGTGACCGAACGCTGCACACAGGAAATTCAAGGGTCAAAGTCAACTGTAGAGTCAAAGGTACCGCACCCAGGCCCTTGGTTGGATACACTCACTTGTTGTGCGCAGGTACCCAGACAGCATCCAGGCCGGAGGGAATTCGGTTTCAGACCAATCTGGGCCCTCGTTTGCATTGAGATCTGGACGGTTGAGGGATGCAGCATCCGGGGTTCAGACCCGGCGTCAACGCTACATAAGCGCTGATTTCCTGGCTTTGACATTCATTCTGTCTTACGTCGATGCTGTCTTCACGCGTTGATGACGACTCTGGCTCGACGCTGCGAAGCTGGCTGAGCACTGGCTCTGTGTGTCTATGGCGACGCGCTGCTGGTCTGGCATGGTGGCTGGCTTGCACCTGTCTTCTTGGCATGCTGATGTGGCAGCTGCCATGCGTTGTCGCTGACGTGGCTGCTGCCATGTGTACTACTGGTTGACGAGGCGAAGCTATGTGATTTGTGTTGCTGTTCTAATTATCGTCATTCAGGAGGAGATCGAGACTGTGGAGAGATCAGGAATACTTACCTGGTTGTCTTTATGTCGACATTGCTCCAGCATTGATGAGGGACTGATTAGACGTGCCACGTGGCACATTGAGGTTACTTCAGATACTCGTTCAGACTATTGACTATTGAAGTGGTGATCGAGAAGGGAGCCCGAAGCAGGAGTGGGCCTTGTATTTATTTCCTCTCCTTTGTCTAATCTCCCTCCTCTTTCCTTCGTCTGTGTATGATTATCTTATCTCATTCTGTCTGGACACGATTTTGACTATTGGTAATCATCAGGTGGTTGACATTCATCTGGGCTTGCATTGTTGACGACTGTCTTCACGATCTGGGTTCATTGCAATTTGGTATCGGAGCATACTCCTGATGATGATGCGCACCAGGTAAGTGACACGCGCATGTATGATGTGATGACTACGCGATCTGACGTGGACAACGGTGATGATCGCTGGTGAGGCTGACGTGGAATGCTGACGTGGAAAAGACTTGCTGGCGAGAAGACTCGATCCCGACGAGCTTGCTGACGTGGCAGTCGGGATCCCGACCTGGAGTGACCGTGGACCAGCCAGGATCGCAATATTAAGGTCGCGATCCCCTGCTGACATGGCATACTTTGTGCCACGTCCAGGGACTTTGGCGCTGCAGATTGCTAACGTGGCAATCTCACGCGCGACTTGGTCCCGATGAGGTGCTGACGTGGCCTTGGACGACGAGGCTGACTGCTGACGTGGCAGGGAAGGTTCATCACACCAGTCTCCTTGACGGGGTGATCACCTGCTGACGTGGCATTGGCTCCATTGGCTGACGCGACATTGTCTCGATTGGCTGGTACGGCGACGGTATCACAACAAGACACGTGGAAGTGGCACGTGCGAAGGACAGAGGACACATTTACTGACGTGGCATCCCCACCGCTGGTTGATTGGATATTGATATGCCGACGTGGCAGGATCTGTTGTGTTGGCACTCCAGGGATGACACGTGGCAGGCAGGTGTCTGCAAAGTAAGAGCAGCACTCTGAAGACAATGGTGGTACGGCTGATTGAAAGACTGACGAGACAGCTGTAGTGCCAGCTGTCACGAGGGGTGCAACATCGCATTGACACTAGGATGACACAGAGGGAAAGAAGAAGAAGGATTGCTGACAAACTGTTTGCTGTTGATGTTGGCATACTTACCTTGTCGTTTGCTGTGTTGTGGTGTTGAGCCTACTTGTGTGTTGTATGTGATCACACGAGCCTGACATGGTACCTGTACACTCTTGATTAGGACGTCATCACACAGACAGACAAAAACAGCAATAGTTAGGGATATAAATTTTTCTCTTCGGTTGTTAGAAATCTTGCTGCTGTAGATCAGTGCGGCTGTGTAAGTATTGTTTATTAATTGTTTATTGTGCGGCAGATGCATATCACAATGTCTTTTCTCTGGAATTCGATGAAATTGTCAGTGCTTACTCGTTATATTCCCTTTCTCTTTTATCCAGTCTCACTCATGTTTGTTGTTGATGAGGAGACTCCTGACCCCCGAACTAAGCAGCAAGTGAAAGAGCAGAAACAAGTCTTGATTGTCCGTTTAGACAAACTGATTTCTGAACTTCATGATGCCGGTGAAGAGGCCGAGGCTCACATCCGGAGCCTGTTTGACTTAAAAGCATTACATAATGCTATTGAATTGGCTGAGACAGACACCGACGTCATTCAGGTTCAGGATATAATAATCAAGTGTCGTGAGACACTTGATAAGTATATCATGGATCGACTCTCCAAGATTGCTGATGGGAAAGAAGAAGGAGAAGGGGTTGTGTCTGAAGAAACCGTGGACGAAAAATATTAGACAACTTGAAGAAGCACTAGAGAGAGAGAAGAAGAGGAAAAAGGAATTGAGAAGACAAAAAGAGCGAAATGTACAGCAAGAACATAAAATAGAAGAAATCAGACAAACTGTTGTTGTAACTGAAGGGGAAGGACAGGCTGTTTCTTTGGCTCAACTTGTGACTTACCTTGCTCATCCCAAGATGAAGATTGATTAGTATGGGGTTCGGATTGATGAGGTGACCATGGGACTGCAGACAATTACCGATCTGGTCAAAGGAAAGAATCAGGTGATAGAAGAAGTCAAAGTAGAGAAGGAAGAAAAAACAAAGAAACTAATGGGAGATGCCATCAAGTCTCTTAAGGTAGAGACTGGGAAACCAGAAGGGAAGAAAGTGGAGCCGTCGAGTCCGCCGAAGTCTCCCAGAGGAAGCAAAGTCACCACCACACAACCTGAGAAACCAAAGAAGAAGGAGAAGGTAAAAATGAAATTGCCTTTTAAGTTTGAAAATTTATTGTTGTGGATTGCTGAGATACAAACGTACTGTAGTACGGCCCCTGTTGAACCCGAATCCCAGGTTGCTTTCTCTACATCTTGTCTCAGGGGGGAAGCGAAGGAATGGGTTATGGCTGAAGCAAACGCAACGGGGTTCGATGACATTGGGGAGTGCGTTGGAACATTGAACCTTAAGCAGTTCCTTGGCAAGATCAAGGAACGCTTCTTGGACAAAACGACGATCGATAAGGCCTTTGACCAGCTCACCACAATAGGTCAGAAACATTGGACCTCTGTGGAATCACTGTTAAGGGAAGTTGATCGGTTGTTGCAGGTTCCTAGACTAAACCTGCAAGACAACCAAGTCTTGTATATCTATTCCCGCGCTCTGCCCGAGCCCATTCATGGACAACTCATGGCAGAATCGAAATCTGGTAAGTACAATTATAGGCAGTTTCAGGACCTTGCTCTCCAACGAGAACAAATGACTTCTTAGGTAAATAATTCGTATGCGTCTGTTGTGAAGTATGGTGGTGGTGCAGGTACAGGTAAGCGGATACTTTGGCGCCAAAAGCGTCAGGACCACACCCTCATCGTCTTTGACGACGATACTGTGGAGAAGTGGCCATTGGAGGCCGAGGGTGTGGCAAGCAACATTGATTCCGGGAAGGGGGAAGTCACTGCTGTCGTGGTCAACAAGGGAGGACCACGACCGCCAGTAAAGAAGAAGAAGCCACGCTCGTTCCCAGAGCAGCCCGGGATTGCGGTCGGGAGGCCATGGGAAAAGATGGGCCTGTCACAGGAAACATGGCAGGAAAGAATGGATAATGCACAGTGTCTGAAGTGTGGTACCGCAGGGCATGCGATTGCATGGTGCCCACTTATCCGTAACCCAAAAGCGAGCCGCCAGTAGGAGTAGCATCTGCTCCTACTGAGTCTAAGGGCTTGGAACAAGATGAAGGTAAGGTTCCTACTAACCCTTCTAACCCTTTGACTCGCATGGCAGAGGATGGTTCTTCTTCGGCCCATTGTCCGGAACAGTCTTATGTACTGTCTCTCTAGACGACTCTCTTGACGAGCTTGGTAACGAGTTGCTAGCATGACGAAGCTCGTGGGCTAAGAAATCGAAGTCTAAGGGTGACCTACTACTCGCGGATGTAGAGATTGCACGTACATGCGTAGGTGCACTGTTGGACCGAGGATCCACGCGATCCTGCATATCCGAGAAAGCAATCCGCAAGTTGCATCTCAGAATGAAGGTAAAGAATTTGTCTCGACCACGTGTATCCTACAAAAGCATGATCACTGTCTCGCAATATGTTGATCATGTGAAGTGTCGATTCCGTACCAAGGAAGGAAAAAAGATTGTTAACGAGGTTTCCTTTCTTGTGGAGAAGAAGTTACCTTTTGATTTGATTCTGGGAATGGACCGGCACGAGGAAGCCAACCCAGATATCAATTTCAAAGAGAAGATTGTGCAATTGCGTGACGCACAAACTGAATTGAAATCAATCAGATTGTATAATAAGTCTGGCTCTGATTATAGTTTCTCTTTCTGTTGTATGAGTTATCCAGCATTTCGTTCAATGGTTTCAAAGAAGAAATTGGAATAGGAAGTAATTATGGTCTTAGTAAAGAAAGTAGGAGAATACTCTACTTTCTGCCCTCTTTTGATTGAGAAACTCTTGGATGAGTATAAAGATCTACAAATCGAACCAACAGGAATAACTGCATGTGCTATAAAGCACACTATTGAAATTATTCCTGGCAGTAAAATTCCCAAGGGCCCTGTCTACAGAATGTCTCCTAGGGAACTTGAGGAACTCAGAAAACAACTGTAGGACTTAACAGAGAAAGGATGGATTCGCCCTAGCTCTTCTCCTTATGGTGCTCCTGTCCTATTTGTGCCTAAAAAGGAAGGTGAGTTGTGTCTCTGTATTGATTATAGAGGGTTGAATGTCGTCACTGTTAAGAATGTCGAACCTCTTTCATGAATTGACGACTTGTTGGATCAGTTGCAGGGCTGCAAGTTCGTCAGTAAAATTGATCTGAAGTCTAGATACCACTTGATCGAGGTGGATCTCGCAGATCAACACAAGACTGCATTCCGAACAAGGTATGGTCACACTACGAGTTTGTGGTAATGCCTTTCAGACTGACTAATGCCTCAGTGACCTTCCAAAGATCTATGAATGAACTCTTTGGTCAATGGTTGGATCAGTTTGTCATTGTCTATCTCGATGGCATTCTAGTGTATAGTAAGACACTAAAAGATCATGAGAAACACCTATGTCTTGTGTTAGCAAAGTTGCGTGAGGGCAACTTCAAGCTAAATCCAAAGCAGTCTGAATTTGCTAAGTCCGAAGTCTTATACTTAGGACATATAGTAAACGAAGATGGCCTAAGGCGAGAAGAAAAAAAGATATCAGCAATTAGAGATTGGCCACGACCTAAGTCGATAACTGAACTAAGATCTTTCCTTGGTTTGGCAAGTTATTATAGGAAGTTTGTTAGGAACTTCTCACTGATCGCCACACCAATGAGAAAATTATTGAAGAAAGAAAATGTTTGGTTGTGGAACAAAGACTGTAAGTCTTCGTTCAAAAAGTTGAAATATGCATTGACTCATTACCCAGTTCTGAAAATGGATGACCCGTCTCTACTCTTCATTGTCACTACTGATGCAAGTCAGTATGGGATTGGTGTTGTTCTCCAGCAGGATGACGGCAAGGGCTACAGGCCCATAGAGTTTATGTCTGCACGACTGTCGTCGGAAAAGGTTGCCAACTCCACCTATGAAAGGGAGTTGTATGCCTTAGTCTGTGCACTAAACACGTGGAAAGAATACTTACTAGGGAGGCACTTTACTGTGTGCTCAGACCACTCTACTCCGAAGTGGATAAAGACACAGCCTAGGCTATCTGAGAAGTTGGTACGATGGTCTGCGTTTATTGATACCTTCAATTTTGAATTGAAAACGATCAAAGGTAAGTCTAATGTGGTTGCAGATGCATTGTCCAGACGGAGTGATTTCTTTTGTGCAATTGTCTCTTATTTGGATGTTGGGAGTGATTTGAAAGGTAGAATTCGGCAAGGATATGCCACTGACCTTATTTGGAAGCCTATCATTGATGTCCTGGCAAAAGACCCAACTCTACTTCCCAACTACCGTATAACCGATGGTTTGCTTTCCTTGTTAGACCAGACTTAACAAAGATTGTGTATTCCTCGCAAGGAAAAAATTAAAAGTCTGTTAATTGGGGAATGTCACGATTCTGAGGGTCATTTTGGATTCAAGAAAACTTACGCAGAGGTTAGGGAGCACTTTGAATGGAAGGGATTAAAGGAAGACGTAATAACTTACGTGCATACCTGTCTGGTGTGTCAGAGAAACAAACCTTCACATGAGAATCCGCTTGGTCTCCTGAAACCATTACCAATTCCGAGTGAATCAGGTGAGCCCATCTCAGTTGATTTCATGAGCCTCACCAAGAGCCGTAATGACAATAGTCAAGTAATGGTTGTTATGGATCGTTTCTCTAAATATGCCATGTTTATTCCCTTACCTTCTGAAGCAAGAACTGAACTTGTGATCCAAAGTTTCAGATGCGATGGGTGACTGAATATGGGTTTCCCCTCTCCATTGTGTCTGATCGTGATGCAAGGTTCACAAGTATGCCATGGCAAAAGCTGATGGAAGCATACGGTATACGCTTGACCATGTCGTCGGGGCGACATCCTGAAACGAATGGACAAAGTGAGAAGATGAACCAATTGTGCCAACAACTCTTGCGCATGTATATGAGACCCGATCAGATTAATTGGGATGAGAACTTACCCAAAATAGCCAGTGCATATAATAATAGTGTTCACACCGCTACGGGTCGTACACCAAATGCACTACATAAGGGGTGGAAACCTAGGCATCCCATTGACGTGCTAACGCGGGACCAGTTCCTTAGGTTACCTCCAGGAACACGAGAGTATCCAGTTTTGTTTCAAGAAGACATAAAGAAGGTAAAAGATAATTTAAAGAAAGCTCAGGACCAGATGATCGAACAAGCGAATAAACATCGTCGACCATCTACATTTAAGCAAGGTGATTTCGTCTGGGTAAAGTCCAAAGAGTTTTCCTTAGAAGAAGATGTGTCTCAGAAACTTTTGCCTGTCTATTTCGGACCCTAGGAAGTTCTCAAAGTAATAGGAGATGCAGAGGGACCGTCTTATCGCATTGATATTCCCCCTCATCTCAAAGCATATCCTGTTTTTCACGCGTCCAAACTGTTGCCCTATGTAGAAGGGAATAAATTTCCAAACAGACCCTCTATGATTTCGCCATCAATGGAAGGCAGATATGAGGTAGACAGAATCATAGAGCATGGTTACTTCTGACCTGAGAAGCAGTTCAAGGTACGTTTTAAGTCTCAAGCACCATCAGAGGACAGATGGTTTAGTAAACGAGAACTACTTGAAACTGCTCCTGATTTTGTCGTTGCTTATGAACGAGGGTTGAAGTCTTAAATATTTCTGCGGTGGAACTCGAAAATGGGGCGGCAGGAATGTAGTAACCCTGTTTAGAAGTATCCTGGGGCCCAGAACTCAGCCCCAGGCAATGTGTGACCAAGACACGCCCAGGCCTGAGTTTGTCGCGTATGGCTGTGTGACCGAACGCTGCACACAGGAAATTCAAGGGTCGAAGTCAACTGTAGAGTCAAAGGTACCGCACCCAGGCCGTTGGTTGGATACACTCACTTATTGTGCGCAGGTACCCAGACAGCATCCAGGCCGGAGGGAATTCGGTTTCAGACCAATCTGGGCCCTCGTTTGCATTGAGATTTGGACGATTGAGGGATGCAGCATCCGAGGTCCAAACTTGGCATCAACGCTACATAAGCGCTGACTTCCTGGCTTTGACATTCATTCTGTCTTACGTCGATGCTGTCTTCACGCATTGACGACGACTCTGGCTCGACGCTGCGAAGTTGGCTGAGCGCTGGCTCTGTGCTGGCATTGTGTCTACGGCGACGCGCTGCTGGTCCGGCATGGTGGCTGGCTTGCACCTGTCTTCTTGGCATGCTGACGTGGCAGCTGCCATGCGCTGTCGCTGACATGGCTGCTGCCACGTGTACTACTGGTTGACGAGGCGAAGCTATGTGATTTGTGTTGCTGTTCTAATTATTGTTATTCACGAGGAGATCAAGATTGTGGAGAGATCGTGAATACTTAGCTGGTTGTCTTCATGTCGACATTGCTTCGGCATTGATGAGGGACTGATTAGACGTGCCACGTGGCACATTGAGGTTACTTCAGATACTCGTTCAGACTATTGATTATTGAAGTGGTGATCAAGGAGGGAGCCCGAAGCAGGAGTGGGCCTTGTATTTATTTCCTCTCCTTTGTCTAATCTCCATCCTCTCTCCTTCGTCTGTGTATGATTATCTCATCTCATTCTGTCTGGACACGATTTTGACTATTGGTAATCATCAGCTGGTTGACATTCATCCGGGCTTGCATTGTTGACGATTGTCTTCACGATCTGGATTCATTGCAATTGACTCGTTACTTCAGTGTAGTACTCTATATGGATGGTTTTCTCGGTGCATTTGTACTCTCTGCTTGGACACGACTACTTGGACATCTGTGTGATTTCGCAACTTGGCTTTCTGTATATCGTTCACACTCATATTCCTTGCAATTTGGTATCGGAGTTGGTTCGTGATTGCCGCTTACCTGGCACCGGCGACATTGTTACTTGGTGCGCTGACGATGCTTCATGTGCAGTAAGGATACTTTGGAGCTGGTTTGATTGAGCGGGCCTAGGTGGAAAGGCTGGCCGCAGGAAGGCTGTGGCGACAGCGTGGGAGCTGTGGCGACAACGGGTGTATGCATGATGATGAGAGTATGCTGACGTGGCATTTTGGCTGAGGTGGCACTGCATTGCGTTGTGGGTGGTACCGAGGCTATTAACCGGTCATCGAAATGCACGTCGGCCCAATTGGTGAGAAATTTGTGGTTGGGGGCAGTTATCTCCAGGTATGTTGTTCCCATTCCTTATCTATCCTCTCAATCTCTTCTTACTGTGAGGAAGTGAGTCCAACTTGAGTGTCCTCTCTTTGGTGAGGAGTCGTGTGCACTCTTCCTTGAGAGACGACATTCTTCCCGGTGGCGCATCTGGCAGGAGAGGGCGGTGCCTCTGAAGGGCCCTGGTCGAAGCACAGGTCATGGTCACCATGCCAACCCATGGGAGTAGTACACGCAAGCTTTGCTGCTTTGTCTATTGAGGCTCTTTGCTGCGCTGATAGAAGGGGTGTGCGGACTGACCAGTCTTACGTAGACGCTCGCAGGCCGCCTATAAACATTTCTAGTTGGGGTCTGAACTGTCCACCGACTGTGATCGTCGTCCTGATTGTGACGTTAAAGAATTCCTGAGGACTCTCGGGGGCTGTCCTTAAATTGCCTCTTGATCAGCCATATCAGTTAGACGTAAGGCTCGCTGCACGCGAGGGTAAACAAAAGGGCAGAACTGGTCATAAGCATACTTCTCGGGCACAGGGGTGTGCCGTGGTTGCACACCTTAGACACCGCAGCTTGATGATGCTCACAGGTACGTTGGATACAGGGGAAGGGTATTCCAATTGTGAACTCTATTGTACATCACTACCATTTCCATTGTGCATACATCTGCTTACATTAGTCTAATTATTATTTTGATTAGTTGGTTGACAGACTGCTGACACCTAGTAGACAGCCTAGAGTAGGACTGTAATCTACCATAGTCAGTTCTTTTCGATGCTTCTGTGCAGAACTAATCGGAATAGAGTTAGACTATGTGTACAGTTTGTGTAGATGTTGTTGATGCCGCTTGACCGGTAGTCTAAGTAACTCGCTGGACATTAATTTATATTGTTTATTTTTAGAACCGGTCAGATGTATGCTGCGGTAGGTCCCAAAGAGGACTCTAGTGTAGACAGTGTTTGCCTAACCGATGAGTGGATCAGCTGGGGATAGAGGTACAACTGACGAGATGAGGATAACAAGGCTATCATCGCTTAGAATCCCTAGAGTGTTCCAGGCCCTACAATCGAGAGAAGAGAGAAGACTAAGGGTCGAAGCTAGGGCCCGTAGTCTTGAGGCTGCAAGGGAAGCAGCAGCGGCCGAAGCAAGAGCGTTGGCAACAGCTAGCGAGGTAGCAATGGCTACCGCTTCAGCAACATCTGCATCAACCTCTGGTCAGGGTGTGTCGCCCAACTCGACCAGTTCGGAGTCGGTTTGCAATACGTCAGGGACCGGCGCTAGTCAGATGGCGGGTTTGCAGTCCAGCCCCCCGCCTCATCTTAAAAGGGAGCAGATGGAGCTCCAACAGCTAGAGAGGATCTGCCTTAGGCTAGAAGAGGAACTCAAGCAGGCTACTAAGAGAGAAAAAGAAATTAGAGAGAGAAGAGTCAGACTAGAGAGTAGGGAGGCAGACCTAGCTGCACTAGAGGGTTTAGATGACGCAACCCTTAACTCTACAGGAAAGATTCTTAAGGCAAGCGTCCTGTCCATGCAGGCGTACATGAAGAGCAAGATGGACGCCATGCAGGACACCCTAGACCAGATTTTGCAGGCCCTACAAAGGCTAGGGATCCGGACAGCAGCTTTGCCATTGCTTCCATTATCAGCAATGACAGGCCCCTATGTCGTTCAGTCTGGACAACAACCAAGTGGTACATTGGCAGCAACTCTATCTCAGACTGTTGCTTCTTCATCTTCTGGTCCAGCGACTGGAGCTACATCACAGTCGCCACCTGTCCCGCCTGCGGGACAACAATTACCTTGGTACCCCAAGATCCCCCTGAAACCACCTCCAACCTTCTCAGGAGACAAGAAGGATGAGGCTCTCGACACGTGGTTGAGAACGGTGCCAGTGTGGGTGAGGGCAAAGAGGACATTGGTAGAGGAGGAAGTGATTACTATTGCATCCTACTTAGAGGGTTCAGCAGCTCGCTGGCTAAATGGATTGGTAGCTTCAAAGGGTTTCGGCAGGAACATGGGTGATTGGGCTCAGACCCACACCCTAGAAAGCTTTATGGATTTAGTGGAGGCTCGGTGGCACAACCCTCAGCAGGGGCAAATTGCCACTGATGGGCTATTGAAACTTGACTCTAGGAAGTACAAGTCCGTGAGAGAGCTGACCACAACCGTAGAGCGGTTGATTGTCATACCGGGAGTGGAGTACGATCCACAGGTCTTGTTGACCATGTTCTTGAGATGTCTTCCCACAGACATCAAGAACTTATTAGCCAGTGAGGCTCGTCTAGAGTATCACACTTTTGAGACATTCAGCAAAAAGGCCCTAGATTTAGAGGTTACGCTGGGTGGTGCTCAAACCCCTACTACGGACGGAAGAAAGAAGAAGACTCCACAGGAATGAAAGAAGAAGGGTAGTTGATTGATAATGGTTGATTCCGAAGGGAATCAAACCGAGACCGATGATGTTTGTGAACTTGTGGAGGGTTCAAAATTAGACGGCGAGGAGAGTGCTGAGGGTAGCAACCTCGCCGCCGTAGTTAAGACTAAGGCAGGTGGCCACGACAAGGGCGGTCAGCAGAGGAGTCAGGGGCAAGCCGCCAACCGAAACAAAATAGCTGCTTGGGTGAGGGTCGGTTTGGATCAGGAAGTGTGGCGAGACCGTTGGTCGTGTGGTGCTTGCATAAATTGCGGCGAGTACGACCATACGCAATTTAAGTGCAAGAACCCGAAGGTCTTGTAGAAGATCCCTCCTAAGGGTGGGTATCCTTCTTCTCAGTTTGGGGCCTCTACGAGCTCCGGCCCGAGAAACACTTAGGGCCGGTAGAAGTTGTAGTTGCTTCTACTCTTGTTGAAGCGGGTGATCTACCCTCCCCGTTTCAAGAGTTGGCCAAAGCTATTGACTCCTTAGTCACCTCGCTAGCACATCCTAATCCAACTATACTCTGTACGTTGGATGTGTCTGAAGCCTTAGAGGACCTTCAGGGTGAGTGGTCGGCAAGGGACCCTCGTGAGTCCTGGGTGGCACTAAGTAGAGGTCCTAGAGGGGAGCACTTTGTTGTGGAAGCTGGTGTGGGTGGTCGCAAGTGCGGCGCCTTTGTAGACATCGGCTCCACGCGAAGCTTCATAAGTCGCGACTGCGTTGATAGACTGCACCTAAAGGACCGGGTGAAGTGCCTTAGTAGACCGGTAGCATCTACTTTGGCCAACAAAGAGCGCATGATGGTGGAGGACTATGTTAAAGATGTGATCTGCACGTTCTCCTACCCAGGAGGAGAGATAAACCATAAGATATCATTGCTGGTGAGCGACAATTTGCCCTTTGATATGTTGTTGGGCATGTACTACCTCGAGGCTGCCAGGCCCCAGTTTGAATGGGACAAGAAGGTTTTGAAGCATGAGTTGCCTAATGGGAGGACCGTTAGACTAGCTAGGTATAAAGCCAGTAGGTTAATAGACTCCTATGGGTGCTTATGCGCATCAGCCTTCTATAACTATTATAAACAGAACCAAGAGGAAGGAATGTACTTAGTCTATGTCTCTGCAAAAGGGGAGGCTGTTAAAAGACCCCCAGAGATAGAGACAATCGTCGCTAAGTACCCTGATCTGCTTGAGGAGCCTACAGAAGTCGTAGACAAGGAGGTTGTCCATGAGATCATCCCAGGTAGCAAGACACCTAAGGGAAGAATCTATAGGATGGCTCTGGTCGAGTTGGACGAGCTTCGGGGACAACTGAAAGAGCTCACAGAAAAGTGGTGGATTTGGCCTAGCACCTCCCCCTTTGGCTCACCAGTCTTATTTGTTCCAAAGAAAGGGGGAACACTAAGGATGTGCATTGCTGTCTCTTATACACATCTAGATGTGTATAAGAGACAGTTATAGAGGCCTCAATGCCATCACCGTTAAGAACGCAGAGCCTCTACCACGCATCGACGACCTATTGGATAGGGTGCAGGGGTGTAAGTACTACCCCAAGATAGACTTAAAATTCGGCTACCATCAGATTGCTACAAGACTAGAGGACCAGCACAAAACCGCATTCCAGACCAGGTACGGTCTGTACGCATTTGTGGTAATGCCCTTTGGCTTTTGCAATGCACCGGGCACATTCCAACACGTCATGAATATGATCTTCCATGACTACTTAGATAATTTTGTTGTCGTGTATCTCGACGATATACTTTTCTTTAGTAGGATTGTCGAGGAGCATGCTCAACATGTAGACAAAGTACTTTCACTCCTTCGGCAGCACAAGTATAAGATAAACGCAGAGAAATGCGAGTTCAGACACACTTGAATCTTGTACTTGGGTCATGAGGTATCCACGGATGGGATTAGGCCTGAAGATGCGAAGGTGGCTAGTATTAGGGACTGGCCACGACCCCAGCCTGTGACTGAGGTCAGATCATTTTTGGGAATGTGTGGTTATTACCGCAATTTCGTAAAGAACTATAGCACGATCACATCTCCCTTGACTGATCTAACTCGACTTGACACACCATGGGACTGGACTGACGAGCGTGAGGCAGCATTCAAGCGATTGAAGCATGCTCTCACACACCATGAAGTTCTCATGGTATCTGACCCGCAGAGGCCATTCGTTGTAACCACTGATGTAAGCCATGGCATTGGCGCAGTGCTGGCTCAGCAGGAAGGAAAAAAGTTGAGACCGGTCGAGTATATGAGCATAAAGATGTCATCAAAGAAGTTGTCAAAGTCCACCTACGAAAGGGAACTTTATGCTCTCTACAAGGCACTTGTCCACTGTAGGTACTATCTGTTAGGAAGGTTCTTCTATTTGTGAACTGACCATCAGACCCTCAAGTGGATCAAGACCCAACCTGTTCTCTCCGATGCACTCAAACGCTGGATTGAAGTCATAAATCAGTATGACTACAAATTAGACTATGTGAAGGGAGAGTACAACAAGGTTGCGAATGCGTTGTCTCGAAGGGCAGATTACCTAGGTGCGCTGATCTATGAGTTTGGCTTGTCTGAGGACGTTACTCGATCTTTGAGGGAAACCTACAAGGAAGATCCCATCACGATGGACATCATCAACAAACTGCAAGCCAAAGACAAGGCCACCTCTGACGAGTTTGTGATGGTGGATGGGTTACTCTTTCTTGAAAAGGCAGGGTTTAAAAGGTTGGTTGTTCCATTTAGGGAGATTTTGCGTAGTTTATTTTTAGGTGAGGGTCGCGATGCAACGGGACATTTCGGCTACAAGAAGATTAGTGTCAATTTAGTACAACGATTCTGGTGGCCTAACATGCTAGACGATGCAAATAAGTGCGTACAGACCTGTCAGGTCTGTTAGCCGGATAAGCCGCGGACTCAACCTCTGCTTGGGTTACTCAAGCCTGTACCCATTCCTGCTGGCCCAGGGCAGAACATCTCCATGGGCTTCATGGATACTCTCGTGACCAGCAAGAATGGCAAGCAGCACATCTTCGTCATAGTTGATAGGCTTACTAAGTTTGCTAGACTAGTTGCCAAGCCAAAGACCGCCAGGACCAAACACATCATTAAGTTATTCATGGATAACTGGGTGCGTGATTTCAGGCAACCAAAGAGAATCGTTAGTGATAGAGATGTGCGATTCACCAGCGAGATGTGGAAGAAGGCCGCTGAATAGATCGGCAACCAGCTTCAGATGACTTCTGGGAATCACCCTGAAGCAAATGGGCAGGCTGAACAGATGAACCGTGTGGTGCAGCATCTGCTGAGGCATTGCATCAAACCCAACCAGGATGACTAGGATGAGAAGTTACCTCTCATCGCCAGTCTGTACAATAACGTTGTACACAGCACCACCGGGGTCACCCCAAATCAGCTGCATCTCGGATGGAAGCCTAGATTTGCTCTAGACTTCCTCCTGCCTGTAAACCGAACTGCTGCAACTCCTGGAACCATTGAATTTGGTGTCTAGTACGAGAAATTGTTGCAGTAGACTGTCGAACACATCAAGAAATCTCAGGAAGCCATGATTGCTTATGAGAATAAGAAACGTCGACAGTCCACATTTCAGGTAGGGGAACGTGTCCGGGTCAAGGCTAGTGAGTTGGGATAGGAGTTTGGCATCTCTAGGAATCTAATGCCACAATATTTCGGTCCCTGGGAAGTTTTGGATATTGTGGGGAATGATTTGGATGGTCCTTAGTACGTCATTCGTATCCCTGGTCACCTACGCAGTTACCCTGTTTTTCACGCCTCCAAGCTTGCACCTTTCGCTGAGACAGCACAGTTCCCATCACGGAGATCTATGCTGCCCCCAACCATGGATGGCCACATGGACTCGACGATATCCTGGATCACAGAGACACGCCTATTCCCAAGCCACCTGGCAGGGGAAGACCTCCTAAACCTGCAAGGGAATACAGAGTACATTTCAGGCATCATACTGATCCTAAGGAAGATCGATGGATTTCAAGAGAGGAACTTGTCAAGAAGACTCCTCAGATCATGGCAGATTATGAGAAGAAACTGAACGGGAAGGCACCAGCATGAAGCATCTCAGCGGACTTTCGAAGCTAAGGGGGATGGAATGTGAGGAACAAGCCCTCAAGGGGCCCTATCAGACATCACATGTTCTGGGCTAAGGCCCCCAGCAAGCTGAGTACCTGCCCTAAATGAAGGCGGGCCTGAATATTCGCCAGAGGCCAAAATTCGACATTTTCATATGTGGGTATTCAGGCTCTTGCAGCACGCCAGTTGGTTGGGTAGACGCATGAGCCTCACTAAGCTGCGTCATACAGTTGGCCCAGGCCTTGACAGTTGCACCTGGCACACACACACAAAGCAGGGCCGATACATTGGGAAGCAGGCCATCGGCCTTTGCAAAAGCAGTACTGCCGACGTACCTGCCTGGGAGCCCTGCACAGATGCAGCAAACAACCCAAGTCCGGAGACTCAGGCCGTGCCCAACTGAAAAGGGCCCAGGCCCTCAACTGTAGTCTCGGGCCTAGGCGCAGGGTCTGAGGCCAAACCGGAAGCTTCTGGACGCTTCTAGCCAGGCCACACGCAGCATCCAGGAGGCTGCCACTTCCATAAAAGAAGTGAGGAAGCCCAGGCCAGGCATTCTGGCCAGCGCAGGCAATGCGGAAGTGCTGCTGCGCTCTCGCTTGATGCTGTGCTGCTGCCAAAGGCGCTGACGGGGTGCGTAGTGGTGAGGTGAGGCGCTGCAGGGCAGCGGGGTGCAGGCAGCCATAGCCGGGCTGCTGGGCGCCAGGGGGTGCAGCGGTGATCTGGTGGTCTTCAGGGAAAGAGGCGCAGTGTGGGGTAATCAAGGTCTGATTGAGGGTGACGAGATACGTACCTGGTGCATGAAGAGAGGTCGGCTATGGCGTTGACAGTCATGTACATTGGTCTTCGAGAGTCGAAGTGGGCCTGTTGCGTGAACCAGATGTAGGTAGGATAGTCGGGTAGAGTAGGCTGGGCGCTGGGCGCCAGACAGAGAGGAGCGACTTTGGATACCGTGTTGGTGTGGTGTACGGGCTTGGACATTGACTCATTACTTCATTGTATTGCTCTATATGGATGGTTTTCTCAGTGCATTTGTACTCTCTGCTTGGACACAACTACTTGGACATCTGTGTGATTTCGCAACTTGGTTTTACACTCATATTCCTTGCTAGATTTTCAGGAAAGCAGTCACATACCAACTGAAACATCTTAGAAGCCGGATAAGATCATAATCATGCTCGTAAATCTCTCTCTTTCTCTCTGTCACTCACACACACACACATGACACAATCTGTGTTGCTTCCACGTCCACCCCCAAACTAATTGTGTCCAGTCTGCAGCTTCTTACCGTAGTCAACCCCTGCTTCTTAACTCATTTTTCTCTGCAACCCAACCCGTGACTGGGCTCTTGTGCCAGTCTGCGGCAGTCTGCTCTGCCGGTTAGTCTTTCCCCAGTTCTACCCTCCCTGCACTCTCCTCCTTTTCCGCCACTCCGCCTGTACCTCTCCTCCCCATTCTTCCTCCTGCAATAACTCAAGTTCAGAATCTGCGTGAACGCAGGCCAGGGGTCGTAACTTGTGGTCAGAGGTGCGCACGAGAGGGCAAAAGTCACACCCAGGTGTGAGAAACGCCTGGACAAAAAGCCTAAGGCCAAGGGGTACCCTGGGCCAAGTCAAAATCGGCCTTCAGAGGCCCTACGGGCGATGCTTGACCTTGGGAAAGTCAACAGTCAACCCAAGTACGGGAGACCAGGCCCAAGAGTCAAAGTCAACCCGCCACGGCCATCGATCAGATGCACATCTTTGGTTGTCCGCAGGTATCCAGAAGAATCCGGTCCACGTGGGACACATGGGAAATCTGCAACTGTACTGCATCCAGGCCATTGGCTTCAGATTGATCTGGGTCGTCGACCCGAGGAGACGAGAGGCCGGTCAACGTGAGTCAACAGTACAAGTCGACCCAGCCCCTGCTTGGAGAGCATTCAGTCTTGCGGTTTCTGCTTGGCGCTGGCTTGATGCTGGCGCGACGACGCAAGGATCCTGGAGCTTTATGCTGGTGCCAGATAGTGAGTACAGGCGCCAGCCTTGAGGGTGATTATGCTGACGTGGCCGTAGCCGCGTTGAGTTCGATGTTGATGGGAGTGTAGGTGAGGAGGAGGATCTGGACGGGGATCTGGACGGTGAGACTGGCATGAGTGATGAGGAGAAGCTTACCTGGGCATACCTTTGACGACGCGTTTACTTTGCTGCTCGTCTCCAAGAGGAGGATCTGCGCCATCCTCCTTGGCTGCTGCTAACATGGCTGGAGGATGGGCGCCCGGCTGTGACCTGCCCGATGTGTATGTCAAAGATCATCAGGGGAGAACTGTATTGCAGACGTGGCGATTGGGGAGGAAATGCCCGAAGAGTAAGGGGGCCTAAGAGGGAATTCTGCTTCATTGATTCGTGTGGAAACTATCTTCTCCTCCTCTCAGTCTCTTCTCCCTCTCTCCTCGTTCTCTTCTCTGAGTTCGAGACCTTGGGAGACTACATGTATGACGCGCATGGTTACATGTTCGATTTTTTGGAGACCTTGATACTGCGCTTGTCAGACTTGTATTTTGATGATGATGATGATGATGATGATGATGATGACGATGATGACGTGGACCTGATGAGTCGACTGTGGAGGAGAAGAGCGGCATGGTCTACTCTCGTCGCTGTTTGATAACTCACCGGCTAGCTTGAGTGCTGACGTGGATGGAGGGAGGAGAAGGAAACCTTTGGCGCCAAAGCTGATGGTGGCCTGCTGAAGTCGCGGGCTCGATAGCTTCCTCCTCCAGAGGTGTTCTTGCTGTCGAGACGTGCTGCCTACTGAGTGACAGCGGGTTACATAGGTGATGATGTGGCATCTTCCGGCGAGGTACCTGGGATAATGTGGCATTCTCCACAGTGCTGTGACATACCTCTAGTGACGCTGCACCTCCCTGAAGTGGCAGCGGGGTACACAGGTTGACACGGCATTTTCCAAGCGGCATTCCATTGCTCACGTGCTCCAAGTAGTATTCCATCACTGGCGTGGCCTAGCTGGCCATTGACGCTGACCTGGCACAAGTCTTGCTGACGTGTCACCAAGGCTTTGTTGATGTGGAACACGTGATAGTACTGTCGTGTCGTGGAGAACTGCCGAGCCGAAACAGACATTGGTGTGGACAAAGCCTAGCACGTGTGTGGCCTGGCGGGCGGTACAACATTAGAGTATGTTGTAGTGCCACGAGCCGAGGCATGTGTGTGACGCACGTGCAGAGGGCATGTGCGGAGATAGTGAGAGTGAGAGAGAGAGGAGATGGACACACATGAGAAGCAGCAGTTGAGTGAAGCTCCAGCCCGACTCAATGAATGAACAACTGAAAGAATGACCAACCCGGCCTGGGCCTAGGCCGGAGAGATATACCGGCCTAGGTCTAGGCCGGAGTAACCCAATACCGGACCGGGGTCAGGCCGACTGCCTGAAACAGGCCCGGCCTCATTGCCAGGCAGAAAGGGTACCGCTACAATGTGTCTGGTCACAAAGCTATCTACAAGAAGACAGTGAAGGAGAGCAGCTAACACTTGTTTGTTTTGATGTGTTGTTGATCGACTTTGTGTACTCACCTGTCGTGGGCTGTCTTGTGGATAGTGCACTCACCATTGTTTGTTGTCTTGATCTCACTGGTCGTGGCTGGAGAACCCCCACTATCCGTATAGTAAAACATCATCAGACAGAAAATTAGCAGATAATTGACTTAGAATTTTTGAAAATTTTCGACCCTGTATTTTTTTTTTCCTTCACTTCTTGCTGTATTATTGAAACTTCGTTGGTGGTGAGGCCGTGGAATTTACAAGTGTCGTTTTAACTTTTAAGTTTATTATGCGGCATTCTTACCTGCTGACCTGACTGTCCTTTGCAGGCATCCATTCTGACCCTGTTCATTCCCTACTTCTTTCCTATTCCTCTTACCTTTTTTGCTGATGAAGAAGAAGGAAGATAAGAACATGTGAAAACAAAAGCACAAATTGAGGCCAAACGAGCGCAGATGCTCGGCCCTGTTCGCTAGCTGTTCATTGAGTTGCACGACTCTGGTCCAGAAGCGGAGCAGCATGTATGCAGCCAGTTCGATCTGCGTGCTGCAGAAAGCAAACTTGAGAAGGCTGATACTGTTGTTGCATTGCTGGAAGTCAGCGGTCGTGTACAACAGACTATTAATTAGGCTCACATGAACCTTGATAACTACGTGGCGGAACAACTTGCAAGGATTGCTGGACACAAAATTAAGGAGGTGGAAAGGGGAGGACCAAGTAAGAAGACAGATGAACCAGAACTGGCCGAAGAAATTATGGATGCCAATATCAAACAACTGCAAGATACATTGGAAGCTGAAAAGAGGAGAAAGGAAGCGCACATGAGGCAGAAAAAAGAAAAAGAACAACAAGTTAAAAACGTGGAAGAAATAAAACAAAAGTTCAATGTGGGATCGGAAACTGACTTCGCGTCTTTGATTGAGAATATGATGCTAAATCTTGCCCACCTCGAAGCTAAGAGCGACATGTAACTGCCGAACTCCACACGGTGACTGATGTGGTCAAAGGGAAGAACAAGGTGGGGAACGAAGGGGAAGAAGAAAGAACCCCAAGAGAAATTGATGAGGGACGCCATGAAATCCCCTTACCACAAAGAATCGAAATCTCCCAAAAAAGAACCCGCAAAGACAGAAGAAGGAGGGGAGAAGCCGAAAAGGAAGGAAAAGGTAAAGCTGAAATTGTCGTTCACCTACAACAGAAAGAAGGGAGAGCATCTTTTATTGTGGATTGTCGAAATACAGACTTATTGTTCGACTAGTCCTGTAGCTGAAGACAGCCAAGTAGCCTTCTCCACTTCCTGTCTTGGAGAAGTAGCGAAGGAGTGGGTCCTATCTGGCTTCGAGGACTTCGATGAGTGGGCTAAGATAATGACACTTCGGGAATTAGTCCAGAAAATGAAGGAGAGATTCATGAACAGGACGACAACTGACAAGGCCTTTGATGAACTCACTACCATTGGAGAAAAATGTTGGTCTAGTATGGAGACCCTGTCGCGTGAGGTTGACTGTCTCTTGCAGGTACCCAGACTTAATTTACAAGACAACCAGGTACTGTACATCTACTCGCGCGCACTACCAAAACCAATACATGGACAGCTTGTGGCAGAAGCCAAGTCTGGAAAGTACAACTATCGACAATTCTGGGCCCTTTCCCTACAGCGACAACACATGACCACACATGTAAAAGGAACTTTCGCGGGCGTTGTAAGGGGGGTGCAATCGAGTGGGAGTGGGAACGGGAAACATAATTTGTGGAGCCAGAAACGACGAGACCACACTCTTGTCATTTTCGACGATGAGACCATGGAATGGTGGACCCTTGAGGAAATCGAGGGTGAGACGAGTAGTGGTGGTGAGTCAGGAAAGGGTGACGTCACCGCCATGGTGGTTGACAAGGGAGGCTCCAACAATGGGGGATTCAAGAAGAAGAGGCCATGCTCCTTCCCCATACATCCTGACAATTGCTTTTAACCAGCCCTGGGAAAAATTGGGTCTGACCCAGAAGGAATGGTAAGAGCACATGGACAATCGACAGTGCCTTAAGTGTGGCACTAGGAGCAGCCAGTAGGAGTAGCATCTGCTTCTACTGGGCCGGAGGGTTTGGTTAAGACAGTGCCACAACCCCTTTCAACCCTCCAACTCCCGTGGCAGAGGATGACTCTTCGTCGGCCCTTCACCCAGTCCACCCTGAAAAAATTTTGTGTTTTGTCTCACTGGGTGATTCCTTTGATGAACTCGGTTGTGAATTGATTGCAGATGTTGAGATTGCACGAACAAGAGTTTGTGTTTTATTAGATTCTGGGTCTACACGACCCTACATCTTTAAGAAGGCAATTCAAAAGTTGCACTTAGGGATGAGAGTGCAAAACCTACCAAGACCTATCACGTCTATGCTAGCTAATCAGACCACCATTACTGTCTTTCAGTATGTCGATTGCGTGGTGTTATTTCCGTACTCGGGAAGATAAGCGGATATTGCATGAGGTAACCTTCCTAGTTGGAGAACTTAGCATTTGACTTCGTCCAAGGCATGAATTGGCACGAGGAATCCGACCCATATGTCAAGTTTAGGGATAAAATTGTCAAGTAAACGATGAGAATTCTGAAGTGAAATCAATTAAGTTGTTTCACAAGTTTGGTTCTGACTCATCACTGTCATTCTACTGTATTAGTCTTCCTTCTTTCCAACGTATGGTCACGAAAAAGAAGAACCAACGGGAGTAATTGAATGTGCTATAAAGTTGGGTGGCACGGCATACGTGTACATGGGTTGCGCGTACACACGTACACGTATTCCTGTACGCGACACGTACAGGCGACACGAAGAAATCTGAGAAAAAAATATGCTATGCAAAATGATATTTCAAACAACTTTTGCCTGAGACTTATTTCAAAAATTTGTACCCAACTCGAGTTGAAAATAAAAAAACACAAAAAACAAATTAATTGAAATATAAAAAAAAGAAAAAAGTTCAAAAAACAGAAAAAATAAAAACAAAATTCTATAACAAATATATGTTATGCGGAATCATCATAGAAACAACTTTTGTTTGGGGCATGGTCCCATTAGTAGTCGGATAGGAATGTGGTCGATTCAGTGTGGCACTGAGTGGCAGCGGCCTGACAGGTTCATTACGAATTTCTCGGCTGAAAAAATAGGAGAAAGCTAGGCTACCAGCCGGGCCGCCTGGGTCCCGGGTGGCCAGCCCATGCAAGATAAGGGAAGGTCCCAAAAAAAAAAAAAAAAAAAGAAATCCAAAAACTTTGAAAGTAAAATATGTTATGCAGAAAAATAAACTGGACAACTTTTGCCTCAGGGTCACATCAAAATTCTTCACCAACTTTAGAATAAAAATTACAATTCAGTTTTTTTATTTTAATTATTTTGGCCCGGTCGGGCAAGTGACCCTGGGCCACTCTGTAGCCTAGGGAGAAAGGCAAAAAAAAAAAAAAAACGAAGACCTCCCATCGGAAATCATTGCAGAGTGCTTCCCAGCCATCAGATCACAAATGATCCAATGGTGGTGGTTGCAACAATAGTGAACACAATTGCCACATTTTTCTAGAATAAACTTGACTTCTATCAGTAGTGATCATGACGCCCTCCATATACTCCGTGATTGAAGGAGGGCTCCGCCTAATGAGATAATTGCACAGCAAGCAAAATACTGAAAATCTTCTATCCAGTGGGCCTATGGCCAACCCGACTCTCTTTTGGGGTTGGCCATACTCCCAACAGATTGAAAATATTTTGGCGGGAAGCTTCCTTTGCACCGCCGTGCCCAGTGTTAAGGAGAGGAGGAGGGGAACAAAAATCTTTTTACTTTTTGGGGTAAATCATGTAAAATATTGGTTGTGGGATCACGAGTACTGCACGGTAGGTTTTTGGTCAGTCAACTGCTATACAAACTTTTTTATATCCTATCCCCTTGCTAGTGGGACCATGCCCCTAGGAGTCATCCCCGGATTCCCAACCGAACTCGAGTGGAAAATCAAAAACTAAAAAAAGGTAATGTTATCGTAATAATTGAAAAACTATGTTTGTAATTTTTATTCTTTTAAAGTTTCTTTAAGGTTTTTTATTTTTAACTCGATCTTCCTTGGGAATTTGGGGATGACTCCCAGACAAAAGTTGCTTGTATTCTATTTTGCACAATATACTTTTTTTTCAGATTGTTTTTTTTTGTTTTTTAATGTACGCGTACGTGCGTTTTTGGGTACGCACGCTTACGGCAAAATACGTACGCGTACGGAGTGCTACCCAACTATAAACCAGACCCTTGAAATTATTCCCAAAAATAAGATTCCCAAAGGACCGATCTACCGTATGTCCCCGCGGGAATTAGGAGAACTAAAGAAACAATTGCAAAAACTCACTGAGAAGGGATGGATTAAGCGAAGTTTCTCTCCATACGGCGCTCCTGTACTATTTGTGCCTAAGAAAGAAGGATAACTTAGACTGTGCATCGACTATCGAGGACTGAATTCCGTCGCTGTGAAAAACGTGGAACCCCTTCCTCGAATTGATTGTTTTCTTGATCAGTTGCAGGGTTGCACGTACTTTAGCAAAATTGATCTAAAGTCTGACCACCACCAGATTAAGGTGGCACCTGACAATCAAAACAAGACGGCATTTCGAACTAGGTATGGGCACTATGAGTTTGTGGTGATGCCCTTCGGCCTAACAAACGCGCCAACCACCTTCCAACGATCGATGAATTAACTGTTTCGATAGTGGTTTGACCAGTTCGTCGTCGTGTATCTCGATGTCATCCTCGTCTATAGTAAGACTTTGGAGGATCATGAGAAACACCTGGGAGTGGTTCTGCAGAAACTAAGAGAAGGTAACTATAAATTGAACCCTAAGAAGTCAGGATTTGCTAAGTCTGAGGTACTTTATCTTGGACACGTAGTAAATGAAGAAAGACCAAGGCTAGAAGAAAAAAACAAATACAACAATTAGGGATTGGCCCAGACCCAAGACCATCACTAAGTTGCGATTCTTCCTAGGACTTGCTAGCTACTATAGGAAGTTGTAAGGAACTTTTTCATTATAGTTGCGTCTACGAGAAGGTTGCTAAAGAAAGAAAAACCTTGGTTATGGGACAAAGATTGCAAGTCAGCGTTCAAGAAACTCAAGCATGTACGAAGTCACTACCCTGTCTTGAAAATTGTTGATCTGTCTCTACCTTTCATTGTCACGACTGATGCGAGTTGGTATGGGATTGGGGCAGTGCTACAACAAGATAATGGGAAAGGCTATAGACCCATAGAGTTCATGTCTAAGCACCTACCGTTAGAGAAAGTAGCTAACTTCACCTATGAAAGGGAGTTATATGACTTAGTTGAAGCATTGGACACTAGGAAGCACTACTTGCTTGGAAGATACTTCACCGTTTACTCGGATCACTCGACCTTGAAGTGGATCAAAACACAACCCCG